TAAAGTTAAAGGAAACTCTATTATCCAAACTCTTTGTCTTTATAACAAAGAAAATCAAGGCTGTAGAACTTACCTTTTCTTTCGTTTCCACCCCTACTTGCTTTCAGGCATCATGGGAAAAGCTTTAGCCTGATCTGTCATGTTTATAGTAACCATCATTGTTATGCTTAAGAATTGTCTCAGGTTTGTATGGTTGTCCTGATCAGGACAATCAACCTGAGCAATGCATAAGAAATGCATATAATCCTGGCCTGTTTTAGTAAAGAATTGATGTTATTTAATATTAAAAACATCCTTATCGCAGTGGGAAACCTGTTTGAAAAAGGATGACTGCCATTTGATAATTAAATAAAAGGAATGGGTAAGATCATTCCCACCTATATTTCAAAACCCTATTCAAATACCACCTACCTCTCAAAGCCTTTCCTAAACTTCATAAATAGATGAACTTTCCTCTCCAAACTCTATAGCCTTTTGGATATCTTAAGATATTCACCTACTGTATGCTTCAAGTTACAGTTAATGGTACCTTCATGGGAGGAGATTTCATGTCTGTTTTGTTCTCACGGCATCAGTGGTATCCAGCACACTTCTGCTCATAGTTGGCACAAAATATTTTATCAAATAAGCATATTAACCATAACACCCTGGGAGAGCACTTTGCAGCTGGCTTTAATGAACAATCCTTGAACTAAGAATTTTAAAGATTTAATCTAGTTCATAACACAGCTTTATAGCTATAGATAAGTCATTTAAGCCTTCTGAGCCTTATCAGTCAAACAGGAATATTAATATGTAATAGGAAATGAAGAATTGGTGAAAATACTTTGTGAAAGAAACATAACTTTAAGATAGTACTATATTTGAATCCCTTGCTGTTCCCCATATGGTGCCTTACACATAAAAAGCCAGCAAATACTTTGTTCTAATTGAAGGGTAATGGGATATATTTTATTAAAATCAAAGCTTTGTTAGGGCTGGGAAGCTTTACCAAAGGAAGGGAAAATTATCTTTCTTGCTCATGCTGCCTCTCCTACTCCAGGACAGTTTCATTATTGAACCAAGGGATCAATGAAAGAGGAAGCAGGGATTTTCCTGGTATTTCTTCATGGACAGGCACACCATGGTCAATCACTGGGCTGGATAGGTGGGACAAGAACCTGCTGCCCTCAGTTTTGCTTGTCTGAACCACTGGTCTGGGTAGGAAAAAAGGAATTACTGCTAGAGGGACAACAGTGGGTAGATGAGAGTATCCACGCTCCAGAAGAATTGCAGGGGACAAGATTGGGATAGTGATTTGCATTGAGCTAACCCTGCTACCTTCTGGGATTTCAGAATTTTTTTCTCATGTAATGGAAGGAAACCAGCAAACCAAATCCAGAAATAAAGCGAAACCCTAACTACAAGAGTGTTTTCAAGGGAGAGGTTGCTGTAGCAGTCTCCTGGGTTTGGAGAATGAGCTTAACCATGAGATTTAGGTTTGAGCATGTTTACTATAAATATAAAGCATTCTCCTGGAGTCTGGCAAATATTGCAGAAGGGGTACTGAAATGTAATTGAAATGTAGCTGCCTCTTAAATTAATTTTATACTTAACAAATGCTAAAAATAAATAAACAAGTGGCTTTAAAGTTCAGGGTGTTAATATTTGAAATCTGTCCATTTTAATTAGCCGAATCCCAGAGACTTTCCTTTTACTCTAGTCGGTGTTGCTGATCTAACACCTAATTCCCTTCTTGGTTGTGAAATAGAAATTAAAAGTATCATTTACTTATTTGTGTCAACCTGGAACTTATTTCTTCAGCATACGTTCTTATTTCAGGAAATAGGACGCATCTGTGTGGAATTTACTCAGTAGCTCCTCTCTTAGTGACATTTGTGTAATCTAATGCAAGGACCTGAAGTGATGGCTCCACATGATTTACCTGCATATGATGCAGCTATTTTTAGTGCTGCATTTACATTTTTAAAAACAAGAATGCATCTTGTCGATGGAACAGGCATGCATTTTTAACTCATAAACTCAAGAACTGTAGAACAAGGAAGTTTCTTAGAAATTGAGTCCAAACACCTTTTTGTACTGAAGAAAAGGAAACTTTGGTCCCAAAAAATTTAGTGGCCCTTAACTAAGGGTCAGTCAGTAATAGAACAAAGCAAGGAACTAGATGGATTTCCAGTTCAAGGCTCTTATTTGTCCCAGATCTAAAAGTACAGATGTGGTTTACATTGACAATTTTTCATGACATGCAGCTTTTTAAGGCTTTTTAACTTAGCCACTTAGCTACTTAAAACCTCTAACTTCTGTATTAGTATATTATAGTATATTATAGTCCCTGTGACTGCCTATACTTACTTTTCTTTCCTCTTTGCATATTTATTTTTAATCTCATGTATATTTTATAAGTAGCCTTAGTATGTTTTTGAATGAAGCAGTGTCTAAAATACTCAAAATGATGCTTTTTATTAATGCTAATTGCTTATGTTTCCATATTGTCTATGTCTGGGCAGAGATCCTAGCAATGTTAATTATCCTAACAAGATTTCAACTTTTTCATCTATCAGAGACAGCAGTAGAAACTAACTTCCTAAGTGGAATGCATAGAGTTGCCATTTCTTCAGTTTTTCGGAAAGTAATGACATTGTTATCCAAAACCCTGGAATTGTTTTTATTCCAGGTAAAGTACTTAAATGTAAATTACTTAAAATGTATCTAGTATCTTAAAATGAAAGACTTTGGCTGAAAGATTACTTGCATGTGGGTATTTAAAAGAACATTGTGATTTATGATCAGTTGATTTTTGGCAAGGGTGCCAAGGCTATTCAGTGGGAAAAGAATAACCCTTTCAACAAATAGTGCCAGGGCAATTGGCTAACCTCATGCAAAAGAATGAATCTGGACCCCTACCTCACACCTTATACAACATTAACTCACTATGGATCAAAGACTTTAATATAAATTATAAACTTATTAAAAAGAAACAGCTGAAAATCTTCATGACCCTGGATTAGGCAACAGTTCCTTAGATATGACACCAATAGTACAAACAACAAAAGAAAAAATAGGAAAATTGGACTGTATTAAAATTAAAGACATTGTGTGTCAGAGGACACTATCAAGAAGTAAAAAGACATCTACAGAATGGGAGAAAATACTTACAAATCGTATTAGCTAACAGTCTAGTTTCTAGAAAATATAAAGAACTTTTAAAATTTAACAATAAAAAGAGAAATAACCCACTTACTACAAGTGGACACAGGATTTGAATGGATACATTGCCAGAGATACACAAATGGCCAATAAGCTCATGGAAAGATGCTCCTCATTAGGGAACTGCAAATCAAAACCTTGATAGGGTACCCCTTCACACCCACTAGGATGGCTGTAATTTTTTAAATGGACTATAAGAAGTATTGGTGTGAATGTGGAGAAATTGGAACCCTTATACGTTGCTAGTGGAAATGTAGAATGGTACAGCTTCTGTGGAAACTGGCAGTTCCTCAAAAAGTTAAACATAGAATTACCATATGACTCAGCAGTTTCACTTCTAGGTGTATATCTGAAAATACTGAAAACGTGTTCACACAAAAATGTATACACAGATGTGCACAGTAGCCTTATTCATAGTAGCCAAAAGGTGGAAACAACTCAAATGTCCATCAACTGAGGAATAAACAACATGTTGCATATCCATACAATGAAATATTATTTAGCCATAAAGAGGAGTCAAGTACTGTTACATGCTACATCATGGATGAACCTCAGAAACATTATTCTTTCTGAAAGAAGCCAGACACAAAAAGCGTGTATTGTATTATTCCATTTATATGCAGTGTCAAAAATAGGCAAATTCATAGAGACAAAAAAAAAAAGATTAATGGTTACCAGGCGATGGGGGAAGAGGAGGATTGGGACTAACTTAATAGGTATGGACTGTTTTCGGGAGGGTGATTAAAATGTTCCAGAATTAGATGATGGTGATGATTGCATAACATAATGAATATTCTAAAAAATACCAAACAGTGCACTTTAAAATAGTGAATTTTATACTATATGAATTGTATCTCAATTGAAAATGTGAAAATTTTAAAAGTGTGCCTAAAGATGTAACAAAAGATATTAGGACAGATTAGAGACTGAAATTTTGAAGAATTTTCAGAAATATGAAATAATTTGGTACCCAATATAACTGATAGAGAACTTTGTCTAGTCTGTGGCTTTTAGAGGATTAACAGAAGGGTCCTGTGTTGTGGTTTTTACAGTTGGACAGGAAGAATCGGAGTCATTAGTTAGCCTTCTGCTCAGAGCAAAGGAATGTCATTAAGAGATGTTATGCAAACTGAGATTATAAAACCAAATTACCTCCACTGAGCAAATCACCTGTATTCAGAAACAGCAGGGAAGTTAGAAAACTAATAGGTATTGGGGGTAGGACTGAAGGGATGTAATTTTTCTTTTTTAATGTACAATGCAACAGCAACTCTCCCTAGATTTTGTGCTAAAATAAGAACATTTTCACACATTTTAATTGCTCTGTGATAACAACAGTGTGAACTCCATCCACAAACATTTATTATCTATTTAATTTTGCTCTAATTTCAGTGTAGCAAGAATTCACCTCGTAAGTGGGAATGAGTCCGTTTAGTAAAACGAAATCTCTTCCCACATTGCTGATCCTATTGTACATTTCCATAATAAAGAATTTAAAATGACCTTTTATATTTTCTCATTTTTAGGTTAAGTTTATAGATTGCTGTTCTCAAAGTAGCATCTTCCTGAACTGGAACCCCACTTGCTCCTTGAACATTAGAATAAAAATATTTAAAAATTGTAGAACTTAAGGTTTCATAAGATTTCTAGTCAGGATTTTAAATGAGACTTATGTTTAGTATTTGGTGCTATAATGTTTGTGGTAAACCTTATAGAACTATCTTTAAGGTACATTTTTAAAATGAGATTTATGTAACTTAGTAATTATCTAAATTGTTCTCATTATTTTGCAGACCTGTCATTTACTCCATCCTTTATAGTGATGCTACAGGACGAAGAGGAATGGATAAAAACATTGGCGAGCAACTCAATAAAGCATATGAAGCCTTCCGGCAGGCATGCATGGATAGAGATTCTGCAGTGAAAGAATTACAGCAAAAGGTGTGTGGTTCTGGTTTTGAAAGTTATTCTTTATCTTGGTACATGGAATTTTAGGGCCTTTTGCATCAAAAATGTTATATTTTCAGAAATTGTCCTGAAGAGCTATAATTACAGAAATGCAGGTATATATTAATGGATGAAATTTGAGGTTTTTGTTTGTTGTTTTTTTAAAAATACTGCCACCCATAGGAAGAGTTGATTTCATGGGCTCCTTTTCAGGTGATTGTGGAAGATTGTGAGTGTTGTCTTCCATAAATAATTTTAAAATATCAGTATTTATAAATAAGGAGGAAATAACTATAAAAACAGTTTTATGACAAAGTTAGAAGTATCACTGTCTCCGTTTGTTTGGTTTTGGTAGTTTTTACGTTGTTATTTGGCTGGCAGGAAAACTTCAAATCTTAAAATAGCCAAGAACAAAATTTGTTTTTAATTTATAATACTCTTCCATTCTTTATAACAGTTAAAAGTAGACTATTTCAGTGAAATCTTTAATGACTTACTAAAAGTTTCAGCTTTTAAAATTATCCCTGTACACATAACGTTTCTTTTTAGTACTTTTAGTTTCAGAAGAAAGTAAATTGGAGGAAAGGCATATCCAGGCAAAACTTACTTAACCTCATAGTTCTTAAGCACATGTCTGTTACTGGTTCATGATGAGATTTTCACTGATCTGTAGCAAAATGAGAAAAATAAGGCTAATTATTAAACTTCTCCTAATGCTACATTTATTTCATTTAAAATTCTGCCTTCTATTCTGATGTTATGCTCCATGTTTCCATATGGTCAGAGTAAAGAGCAGAATTTTATTAACATATACTTTTGTGAAATATGATGATAGGATCCTCTCCTTGTTTATTATCTTTACATAGTAGTGTTTCAGAAGTCTCCGATTTCACCTACACGTTCTGTGATTCCCCAGAAGGATTCGTACAACTCAACATTCAATCATACTCATAGCTAAGATTTATTACAGTGACATAGTAAAGATATATAGCCAGATTATTAATAGAAAAAGACATCAGGAGGAGTCTAGAGGAATCCATGTTTTTCAGCCTTCCCTATACACCTGTCCTTCAACTTAAAATTCAGTAACGTATGCAGTACATCAGGAACTCCATTTTAGTTTCAGAGTTCAGGGTTTTTATTTTCTTAATTGAGGATTGATCACGTTGGCACCTTCTTGTCAACCAAAATTCCAGACTCTCTCAAAAGGAAAGGTGTTCATCGTAAATCTCATTTTACGGTCTTAAGTAGGCTGGCACAGCAGGCACAACATTATCATTTAGGAAAGGTTTTCAAAAGACAGGTTCCCAGATGCAAGCTGTATTAGTCCATTCTCACACTGCTATAAAGAACTACTTGATGGCCATGTGTGGTGGTTTGCGCCTGTAATCCCAGCACTTTGGGAGGCTGAGGTAGGCGGATCACCTGAGGTCAGGGGTTTGAGAACAGCCTGACCGATATGGTGAAACCCCATCTCTATTGAAAATACAAAATTAGCCGGGCATGGTGGCACGTGCCTGTAATCCCAGCTGCTCAGGAGGCTAAGGCAGGAGAATCACTTGAACCTGGAGGCAGAAGTTGCAGTGCGCTGAGATTTATGAAGAAAAGAGGTTTAATTGACCTACAGTTCCACAAGCTTAACAGGCAGCATGACTGGGAGGCCTCAGGAAACTTACAATCATGGCAGAAGGCGAAGGAGAACCAAGCACCTTCTTCACAAGGTGACAGGAGAGAGAGAGAGAGCAAGAGGGGAATGTGCCACACACTTTTAGCATCAAATCTCATGAGAACTCACTCACTATCACAAGAATAGCATGGGGAAAATCCACCTGCATGATCCAGTCACTTCCCACCAGGTCCCTCCCCCAACATTGGGAATTACAATTCAGCGTGGGTACACAGAGCCAAACCACATCACTAGCCAAGGGTAAACTTGCACCTAAACTTTTCTGAAGATAACAGCCTCAGGCCTGCTATGTTAAATTACTTCTGCACAGGCAGTTGAAAGTGAGGGCTCTTATGTTGGTTTTCTCAATTAAAAAAAAAATTACTAGCCTGTGAAACTCTGAAGTCTAATATGCTAATATTTTGGAAAAAGTCTCGAACTTTGCTTTTCCTCTATCTCACACCACAACAATAATCATCAACATAGAAGAAGAGAAAAGGAGAAGGTCAGAGAATTGAAGTATAGAATTTGGATTTTTTTTTCCCATTCAGGTTTAAGGCATAACCATTTTTATTAAAAAAAAAAAAACAAAAACAAAAATCCTCTCAGCATTTATTCTTCTTATTTTGTGATTAGGTTCATTAAGAAAACTTGACATTTGTGACCAAATGTGTGTGTGTTTCTCCCCCCCATATTAAGGAGTGGACACCAGCTAGATGTCTTCCAATTCAGTTTCAACACCATCTACTCAGAGATAGCATCAGATCCCACAAGTAAAGGGCTCAGTCCCACAAGACCACCCTCTCCCCTCCCCAAGTTGCAAGTCCCGGCCTCCAGAACTTCTAACGGACTAGTTTCCAGTTGGAGTTCCCACAACCCCCTCTTTGCGTTTGATTAATTTGCTAGAGTGGCTCACAGAACTCAGGGGAACCAATACTTACTTTTACCAGTTTATTTTGAAGGATATTTTACAGGATGTTAACATCCAAATGAAGAGACATAGGGTGAGGTCTGAAAGGGTCCCAAGTACGGGAGCTTCTGTCTTCGTGGAGTTGGAGTGCACTACCCTCCCAACACGTGGATGAGTTCTTCATCTTTCTGTCAGCTTCCACATGTTCAGCTCCCCAGAAGTTCCCTGAACCCTGTCCTTTGGGGCTTCTATGAGACTTCATTGGTTGTCCATGATTAACGTGATTGCACAAAAAGGGTATGATTTAAATCCAGCAAGTCCTGTCTGTTCAGATTCTTCTTGGTCATTCTGTGCAGCATTCCTTCCTCCAGAGTATGCAGCAGGACCCTCTCTGGAAAGAAGGTCTGATGACCCATAGTCTAAATATTAGAGTCCTGTCTTCAGCAAGTGAGAGCAGGGCAGGAGAAGGTTAGAGAGAGAGAGAGACTGTTTCCTGAGGCCTGCTTCCAAGGCCTGAAGCACCGCAACATTGTAACAAAAGACTATAACAAGAGTTGTGGGAGTTAGGAGCTAGGAACCATGGACAAAAACCTAATCATAATGCCACAGCTAGCCATGCAATTATGAACTTCTTCCTTAAATACAGGAACTACACAATTTCCTTCTCCTTTCTAGTTGATAAATCTATAAAACTAGCTGTCATTCATAACTCCCTCCATTCTTCAGAAATCGTTATTCTTTGTGAGGCTCCTCTTGGTTTACAAAAAATACTCCATTATGGAATACTTATGAATACTTATGGACTGCAAGTCTTCATTAGGGGAGGATAGGAGGAAAGAGCGCACAGTATGAGAGAGGGCTTTCTAAAATTATTGAACTGAAGTTTAGAATTTGAATTTTTTTTTTTCAGTTCAGGTTTAAGACATAACTACTTTTGTAGAAAACAAAAAACTCAGTGTGTGTTCTTCTTAGATTCATTAAGAAACCATGACAATTCTGTATTTCTTCTAGAGGAGTATTAAGATATCTTTTGGATAAGACAGAAACAGGAATTCCTATTAGCTCCTATTTTTCCACTAGCCATTGGTAAGCAATTGAGAGTTGAACCCCTTATCTGCTGTGAAAGAAGCCTTTGCTCACATTAGCATATATTCCAAAGAAGGAAAAGGGAAAATTTTTTACATTTAGTTTTCAAAGCTAATATTTGTTAAGTACTCAAGAATAGATGAAGAAAAAATGTATAATATGTGGTGTTATATGTTAAATTCAAAATATTCTGGTAGTTTTATTTAAGAAACATTTATTGAGTACCTCCTAAGTACTGGGCCCTTAATGAAGTTTTGAGAATACTGAAATAAATAAAATATCGTTTATATCATTAAGAAACTTTAAAAAGTTCAAATAAATCATAAATAAAATAGATATTTTACTATATAGTGGAATAAAAAGAAAAGAAGATGGTAGTTATTACTATAGTGTATTATGTGCTACAGTAGAGATCAGCATAGGAAAATACATGAGCACAGAGAAGAGACACTTGGTCTGTGAGAATCAGGTAATAAGCTCAATGTGAGTCCATACTTGAGCTAAGATTAGGAAGAGTTTAGCAAACTGGGGAAGAAGCAGGAGGAACACTATATATTTAGAAAAACTCAGAAGTGAGAGAGTGTATGATATATTTCATGTACCACAAGGAATCATATAGCTTCAAAGAGAATGATAGGACGTTCCAGGAAAAGAAACTGTAAAGATAGATTAGTATGGCTAAGTAGTTTGTACTATATCGTTTTTCAGTCAAAAGTTACCGAAGGATTAATATGTGCTTTGGAACAGTCTTCCTGACAGTGGGATAGAGATAGATAGTATACAGAGCAATGTGAAATTGAGCTCAACAAATATAAATTAAGAACCTATTTCATACTAAGCAAAGTTCTAAGAGCAAACAATATAATATAACTGGCAACTATCCAGTTGCACTTTATGCACTTTAATATATGTATTGATATAAAATCATGTAGTTATATGATACATAACATATATATTAATATACATACATACTAAATGTATGCACATATATGTTATACCTGAATTTTTTAAAAAAGTGAATGGCAATCATTTCAAGCAATCAAAATGAGGACATAAATTAAGCATTAGAGGTGAATTGGGGAAAATATTTAAGGTTTATTTAGGAGACAAAATGGAAAACAGGGGCACCTGAATACAGGCCACATCGGAGGCCTGGTACCCTCTCAGATGGTGTCCTGGTATCTGGAATAGATTACTGGATTAATGGTGGTGCTGATGACTGAAACAAAGGATGGATAAGAGGGTACAAATTTGGGGTGGGGAAATAAGATCTATAATTAGGTTTTAGTTAATATTTTTAGTTACCTGTGAGGCTTACAGGTGAAAATGCCA